AATTTTGAATTTCGTCCAAAATAGGAATATAGCTTTCAAAAAAATCAGTCCTCTCAAATCTAACCTAATGCTATGGAAATGATGCAGCAAATGAGCTAAATGATACAACAAACTATGAATCAAATGATGCTACACCAAAAATAAATTATAGAAACTCTTGAGAATAAGAGAGAAGAGGGACAACTACCTAGTCAGCCTATAAAACATCTAGGGAACCGCCCCACAATAGGATTTCAGCAAGGAGAGTCTAATAGTATGAATCTAGGAAAAAAACTCACAAAATGAAAATGTTAGGACAGTGAATATATTGAGTGAGAATATTTTACTTGATCCTTATTTCCAACTATTAGAAGAAATCGATGATCCATTAGAAGTAAATAAGAATATTAAGGCCAAAAATAATAGCAAAAAATTTGAATAAAATCATTTATTATTCACAATTGATGAATGAATATAGTGAGGATGATGAGGAGAAAGAGCCCTTAGATGAAAAAACAATAATTGATAATGGAAAAATCATCCAAATTTTAGGGAGTAAGGACAGAAATGAAGAAAAACATATTTCAAGTGATGAAAAATTAGTTGATTTGGGAGATGTAGGAGATGAAATTAATAAATATAATCATAATTTTACAGCCATGGATGTTGATAGTAAGGATGATGATGTATATCATATATAGAAATTAAAAGATAGCTCTTGGGAAGATGAAAAATTTGATGAGTTGAGAAACGAAAAGCTAAAAAAGAGTTGATTCAATTAATGGGGAGAAACGAAAATAATAGATATGAATATAGAGATAATTTTGGAGGAGAAAATTTAAATTTTACTAAATTCATTAGATCTGAGATTAAAGAAGACAATCATTCCATCCTTCAAAATCCACAGCCCATTAGAATTATTTCTAAGCTTGAAATATTTCACTCCTCGCAAATTGAACAAATATGTATGGAAGATAAAATGGAGCTGGGGAAGATTATACAGATAAAAGAAGACATTAAGAAATAGATGAATGGAAGAATTAGAGATATCAATTTAGATGAAAAAAATTTAGATTAATATAAATTATTTATTAATGAATGAGAGCCTTACAAAACAAGATAGAAATAAGGAAATATTCTTTTCAAAATGGAAATATTATTTTTGGGAAAATTTTATTAATTTCCATTTTTATTTGGTTGAAAGTATGTCAAGGTATATAAATGAAGTATATGAATTTATGCTAAATCTAAAAAAGAATATCATGAAACTTACTTTGGGATACAAATATATTTTGATGGCCAACTGTCCAACTGAAGACATTAAATTCAGCGCTATATGGGAGGTAACCCATGATTTTTATTTCATTCTGTTTGATTTTTTTAAAACTCTATTTTTCTTAGAATTTTGTAGTACTTGTTTCTATTTTATTTTTTCGAAAAGGTGCAAGAGGAGTGTAAGATGAAGTGAAAAATTAAAAATAAGGTTGAGGTGATGTCTTTCTAAGCTTTATCATTTATGAAAATAATTTTAATGCTTAATTTTGCACATATACATGCTTCACTTAAAAATTATATTTTTTGTATATTTTGTTTCGATCTGTGTCATTGAGGACAATGTCATTTTTAAGTTGGGAGGTGAAGTATTCATTTTTAACTTATGTTGTAAGATGATTAAGAACATGTGTTTGCATTTTATTCAACTTAGAATAGTAACTAAAAAAATAAAAATAAAATAAAATTCAGAAAAACTGTAACATTTATTTTCTCACAATAGATTGTCAAAAACAACAGAAAAAAATAGCTTGAAATTTAAAATTCTAGAGACCCTTTTCTCACATTTCAATCCCCTAGACATATATTACTAAAATTCGAAATTACAACTATAAAGAGGATAGTTTTGATTTATTTTTAACAAATTTATTACTGCTAAAAATAGAACTGAAAATAGAAAATAGAACTGTCAGAATTATCTAATTTACAAATTTCTTACATCATATTGCATGCATGAAAAATTAAATCAATTAAATTGATTGATACCAAAAGATACTAGGAAGAGTATTATTGAGTCAAAAGAATGATTTAGTAGTATGAAATATTGAAATACTCTTTGGATACATGATAGATAATATGGATTTGATTTTACAAATTTTACTTCATGATCTTTATGAATAGTATTTACTTGATGTGAAAATTTGAATGATGATTTGAATTTAATAGAGATTTTTGCCCCCTAATCTATAGGACTTGTGAGGAGAAATCACTTATTTTGAAAAAAAAAAGAGAAAGCAATGTGAAAAATCTAAAAACAAAGAGTACACATGGAGGGTGTGAGGCATCATTCTCATTGTCGAAAATCGTACATAGAAAAACACTTACTGCAAAATAAGTAGATAAAGTGAAAGCCCTGAAAATGAAGAGTACATATGGAGGGTGTGAGACATCATTCTCATTGTCGAAAATCATGCATAGAAAAACACTTGTTGCAAAATAAGTAGATAAAGTGAAAGTCCTGAAAATGAAGAGTACACATAAAGGATCTGAGACATCATTCTTTTTGTCAAAATTTGTCTACAAGAAAAGCTATTTATTTACTATATATATATATAAAAGAAGAAATATAGTGTAAATTTCAAAAATCAAGCCATAGAAAAAGGGAAATGTAGGATCACTATTATTTTTGGATGAGTATTGATAATTGGAATAATTTGTAAATACATCTATGAGTGAAGAAGTGATAAAGATGTGAATAGAAGAAGTGAAGTCTAGATTGTTATTCTAAGGAGTGTTTAAACATTTAAGTGCTTGACATCATTCTTAAATACTTGATATAAGAATCCAAAGTGTCTAAAGGTACATTATTTCTAATTTTATTTTTTTTCTGTATTGAAATATGATGTTTGAGATTTATAAATTTTTATTTTCGTAATTCCATTGCTAAGGGACTAGTAAGAAGTTTGTCAATATTTAAGCTGAATATAAATCAATATTTCGAGAGAAGGGATCTCTCAACAAAGATCCCTTCTCTCGAAATAAAATAATACCTAAAACCATCTTGGGAGAAGACAAAAAGATGATCTACCTTCTCATGCACATGTGTGTACAGGTGCTCCTTGTCCCATGGCTGATTGACCATTGGGATGTGGAAAGAGAATGACACACACGTGTGCAAAGTGAGTCCTTTGCCACTTGAGCTCAGCTTATGGCTCCCTTGGTCTAGGTCTACCCACTCAACTGTAGCACCCCTCTAGGTCAGCTACTGATTGCTAGCTTGCCAATGGATGGAATATTTTTTATCTTTTATATTTTAAAATAATCTAAAATTATGCTAAGTATTTTAACTTTGGAATTCTAAAATTAACAAAATATCTTATATTTATTCTACAAGTTAATAAAATAAAATAAAATAATAAAACCCATTAAAACACATAAATCTAGCTTTAACATCATCATTGGCATGCTCTATTTGAAACTTGAATATATCTTTCATTTTTTCATTTTCTTGATGACATAATTCATGTGAGAACTTAAGAAACCTGTCTATTATTACTTTAAAATATAAATATGTTATAATATAGTTACTAAAATATGTAATAAATTTTAAGATGATTTATATTATTTGCTTGTACCTATTTAATCATACACAACCTTTCATTTGAAGATTATTCTTTAGCTGACATTCTTTGTTGATCAAATGTTCTTAGTGTTAATAATCATTCAATCTCAAGGATTAATACCTTAGATTTGATTGTTGGTGACATGATCGTAAAATCTCTAAAGGTATTTCATAAATTACCATGTTGAATGTATTGAATATTTGAAACATATTAGTGACATATAAAATAACCATCAATATTAAGTAATTTAATATCAATAAATTTTCACTTGTAATTATCAAAACCAAAGGCATCAATGGTTTGCTCAACCTTGACCTATTTCACTATTTCAAGATGTCCAATAAATATCAATAAGCATGACTTAAACGTATTATGATTTGTGGTTTAGAAAATGTCACACAACATTATACATTCACAAACCCTACTAAATAAAAGGCTTTTTTAGGCCAAAATATTTGAAATTAAGATGTAGAACATCTTGGATAGTCATGGGAGAGATCTTGTGATGCAATATGAGAGCTAACATAGTCGGGAAATTTCCCTAACATTAATTTGTGAGCTTGAGCAAGAGATCCTTTTAGGTCTTATAATTGTTGGTTTGTTGAGGTTCCATAGTCTTCTCTTTAATGTTTTATAGCTAGAGACTTGCTATGCATTTTAAAAAAGCTACTCCTTCAGTGGCTAGAAAAACCAATAGATTCATAGCCGTTCCTACTTACTATTTTACATAATGTGATTGTTGCAATAATGCAAGTATCATTTTAGAAAGTATAGGGTTCACTCTTCATGCTAGCAACAATTTTTCTTCCCAACCCTCATATCGATAATAGGTACCCTCTTCATTATTCTCTAACTTTCTGATTTTCTGAATGATTCTCCATTCTTTCATAACATGAGAGAATTTTTCATGCTAGGTTTGCAATTTCTTATTAATGTTAACTGCAATTTATATATTCCTTGATAGTGAGCCCCTGAAAACGATAATCACTAGAACCTAACAACTAATCAGAAACTCAGGCTTGGGTAGAAAAGAATTTTAAATTCCAAGCTCTAAGACCATATTCCCTGAGTGGGTCTTATTCCTTTATTTTTGTAGAAGAAGGATAATATTGATCTCAATGATGCCTACGGAGAGTGAGAGAGAGAGAGAGAGGGAGAGAAAGGGTGATGTTACTTCAACAGTCGAACACTTGTTTACCATGATTCATCATCTTACAAGATCCTCAAAACCAATTGTGCATGAATAAAAAGGGGGGAATCTACAACATGCAAATAAGACACAAATCACAGCAGGCGATCATCGGGTACTTAGCAGTACAAACGGCGAACAATCACAGTCTATTGGCGGGATCACCCACCCTTCGAAACCACTCCGACGAGAAGGAAAAGTGTATACAATCGGGCGTTCTAGGTGGTGCTCCTTAGCGATGACAGTGCCTTCATGGCCAAAGCTCGAAGGACATACTGGTGGTAGCCAGCCGCAATCGCCGCCCCGGTCAAGGGACCTATCCAGAATATCCACTAAACCCAGGCAGAGGAAGGAGAGGAAACTTCTCGTCAAACGGCTTTGGAAGAGACAAACAGTAATAAAGTTTATATTATTACCTGGTCGTCCCACGCTGCCTTCTGGTTGTAGATGACGGCGGTACCGAAGCTACGAGCGGGGTTGATCCCTGTGCCGGTGATGGGGATAGTGGCCAGATGCGCTAAGAAGACGGCGAACCCTATGGGCAGTGGCGCTAGCACCTGAAACGCCGAGAGAGGGAGAGGGGTTGGGGGAGAGAGAGAGAGAGAGTGAGAGAGAGAGATATTCAGTGTGATTCGTCCTAAGAAGATCAAGCAGCTTAACTCTGGAAGATGTGAAGGGAGAGGTCTGCGTATTTGTTTACCGGGACATGGGAGTCTCGGGCCTTGCGCTTGGGGTCGGTGGCGGAGAAAACGGTGTAAACGAGGAGAAAGGTACCAACGATCTCGGCGCCGAGAGCGGTGCCCGTGGAGTACCCAGGCTGGACGAGGTTAGCGCCGCCGCCCAACGAGTTGTAGGGGCGTTTCATGATGGACTTTGCAAGCCCAGCCCCACACACTGCTCCCAGGCACTGGGCCACCGCATAGCTGACTGCCCTCACCAGGGACAACTTCCTTGCAAGAAACATCCCGAACGTCACTGCGGGGTTTATGTGGCCACCTGCTCCAAAGGTTTGAGTTAGATATATGTAATGAGTACACGAGGACGAAGATCATCCCGCCGAAGGCCCAGGCGATGCCGAGGGTTCCTACGCCGTCGCACTTGTTTTCCTGCTTCAGCTGCCCAATCACGGTGGCCACGGCGACGTAGAGGAAGAGGAGAGTGGCCATGAACTCGGCAATAACTGCCCTGTAGAAAGACCATCTCCGCAGTTCTGCCAGGTCCAGCAGAGGCGCTGCCGGAGGATCAACGTAGTCCACTCCGTCTGCCTTCGTCATTCTCTCTCGAATCCTTTCACGCACTCTCCCCCCCCCCCCCCACTTCCCGCCGTCTCCAACCCTTCTGTTTATAGACGGCGGCCTCTTCCTGCGCTTTCCGGTGGTTCTCCATCAGTGAGTATCAAGACAGCTGGTCTCCTCTTGCCGGCGTGGTAAACGAGGACCACGGCAATCACACTTTTTTCCCTTGATGGCTACTCTTGAAGGGTACTCATCAACCCTGTAGTTCCCATTTTTTGCATTTTATCTATCATAAGTTGGAAGGATGAATTATCATCACCTCAATATCTTCATTTTTTATCTAAGAAAATATCATGTTTGTGCAATAAGAAATGACATGTCCGAGACAATGCCATCAGGAAAACCATCACATAAACTAATATTTACTAAAATATTTCTAGACGAATTCCAGTCGCTGCTCGGGAAACATCGTATGCATCAATTCATTGAAACAATTCTGTATATGTATATCTAACAATTCCAACCCATTTAACATTCCATAAAAATTATTCTGACTAAGATTCCAATAATTAACATCGGATTTTGAAATAATTCAAATAAGATAACGACCTCATCGTATGCATGCATGCATGCATGTATGTCTGGGGTAAGAGAACACAGTTTCATCTTTAGGCTAAAAATCGCTTGCAACAGTTCTAACCCAATTCCTTGCGCGTGTAAACCACAGAGAGATTAGCGTTGCTCATCTCATTTAGACAACTACTCGATAATTCACACATTAGTTTGCTCGTCTCACTGAATAATACAGTGGTTACTCAAGATGTGACGAAGAGGCACTCTCCTGACCCCAGTGAGTACAAACGAGAATATGATTTTCCATGCCTTCCTTTCAGAAGTTTTGCGTACTAAGGACATAGAAATTGAGAATAATATTCTAATTAACTCGGTGAGTTTTGATCCTCAGGGCTTGGCCTCTCGGGTGCAGTCATTCGAAGAATGGGTTCTTCCTTTTTTCTTTTTTCTATGTCAAGTTCGACTACAGATTGGATGAACAAATACAAAATTTCTATTTATATGCGCTTTGGATGGATATTGTTCAGATCCCGACAGCCCCCGTCATATTCCTCACCGCCTCCTTGGTTCATCATCTCATCACAAGATATATTAGTTTTAATTTGTCCTATCTTGAGGGCTGCATTCCTTTATTTTGTATGTTTAACCAATTTCTATTGATATTTCCCCCATCTGCCAGAGTGGCAGACATTCGTTCTTTTTTTGCAATTCCTTGTGCTCGGGGTGTCGAGATATCCGTACTCTCCAAGGAATTTTGTTCCCTAGAGAAAGAAATAATGTCTCGTGGGACTCTTCTGATCGTGCTGCTCGGGGTTCAGCCTTCTGTTTATGCCAGTTTTTTAGCGGAGTCATGGATCTTAGCCCAGCCATGATTTCAGACCCGAGCAGCTACTAATGGTAGAAATCAGGCGAGGTAGTGCCTTGGTTCAAGTCATCTTTTTTTTTTTTTTTTTACTCTTTATGCATGTCGAAGCGGGGCAGCTAAGGTAAGAAAGAACACCCTCTTAAGTGTTTAACTAAGCACGCTTTATTTCTGCATTTGTTTTTTTATTGTATCAACTACGAGCCTTCCCCTTCCATTTGAGAGACTATGCCCACTGTCAGCCCTCCTAGCCAGAGCAGCAAACTTTTTTCTTTGATTATGAGCTCGATTACAAGGGACATCATGAGAGGATGATGGCAAGAGAGGGGGAAGGAGTTTGCAGACGGACACCGATAGAGAGAGAGAGAGAGAGAGAGAGAGAGAGAGAGAGAGAGAAAGGGGGGCGGGGGGCGGCGGGGGCAGACATTTACATGGCATCTGTCACCTGCCTTGCATAAAATTTACTCAAACATGTGAGAAAGCAGCGCCGGGTATTTCCACCTTTAACGGGATGAGATCCAAACTCTGAGCCGGTGCTGCTGATGCCTCTGCCGCCGCCATCAGGAGCTGCCGGCTCTGGTGATCCCCCAAAGCGTTTGATAACCTTCTACACAGCTGCAGCCGCAAGACAGCAAGGGCATCATCAGAAGGGACCCTTGAGGATCGCCGAATGTTGCGCCAAGGTCAGTGCGCGTAAAAGAATGTTCCCAGAGGATCATGAGAAGCATCCACCTGTTGGTACTGAAAGGGATCGCCACTGGATTTTCTCAACTCGACGACATATAAGGATGGACTGACCTCGATAATCTGCAAGAGGAACTTTAGAATGCAGCATATTAAGGAAGCTGAAGTCTACTGAACGGGTCAACGCATACCTCCGCATCTGCCGAGAAGCAACGAGGGCTGGTTGCACCCTGGGATGGAAGCCAGATCTTCAGCTGAATTGCACAGAAAAGATGGGAGCTGGACGTTATGGGTATGGTTTCTTACACACCAGGGTTGAATTTTGCATTCAAGTTTATTTTTATTAATGGAACGGATGATAGAATTAGTCAAGGATCACCATCATGTTCGGAAAGAATACCTTGTTGTGCTTCTTCTGAACTTGGAATCCCATATCCGTTACAATCTTCTGAATATTCTCAAATAAATCTTTTGGAGAATAGCTCGAGGTGAATCTGATTTTCCTCTCAGAAATGCCCTGAAGTGACCAGGAGTTTCGATCAGAGACGAGTTCAGAAAAAAAAAAAGAAAAATGCTCAGAGCATAACGAACACAGACAGAAAAAGGAAAAATCAATAATTCCAGTTTATGGAGGAGGTTTACAGGTTTCGCGATTAAGCAGAATGGAAAGAAAATCTAACCTCACTCTCAAAGAAACCAGAAAGATCAAGGCATGACGACATTCCAATCAGCTCGAAAGCATTGATGAAGGAGGGAACGTTCTCGTGATTTCTGATTTCAGATGCCTTTTCACGCAATAAAATTAAAAAAAATGATGATATACTGAATAAGACTGTAGAATAAGAAGAGACAATAAATTCGTTGAGTCCTGTATTCCTACCTCTTTGATCGAGAATTCTTCATGATCGAATTGAAGATCATCATCATCTGCATCATTGTCTACGGCAGGTGTGTAATCTTCCTTAAACCAGTCATCTGCCTTTATTCCTTCAACTGTTATTCTTGTTTTTGGATTGGGATCAAGAATCCTCGCAATCATCCTTCTCGCGCCAGGAGAAAGCCACTTTGGAATCTGGGTTTCCCCCTTGAAGATCTGAAAAACGAGTAGAAAAAAGAGCGCTAGTCAATCCTCCACTAATTTTCAATTCATGGTCAAGCCAATAAGGCCATGAGAAGTTTTATCTTTAAATAACGAGATTAAGGATATAGAGGGGTAGTTTATTTCCTACATAATATTGAAAATACATATGGATATGAAAGTTACTGATTGGAGGGAAGAAAAACTCGAAATTATGTGATGGTGACAAGTTACAATGAATCATCGTGATGTAGATAGCTTCCAAATGAAAGATTCGATTTTCTACTAGACAACAACCAGATTATTGGTTTCACTTTAAGAAGTTTTCAGACGAAAACTATGATTTGAACACAATTTTATACCTTCTGATAGAGAACTGCAAGATTTCTGTCGTCAAATGGTAGGTAACCCGTGAGAATAACATACAAGATAACACCACAGGACCAGATATCTGATGCAGCACCATCATAGCCTCTGTTTGCAAGGATCTACAAAAGTTTCCATAGGAGAATATAGCAAAGTGAGGTGAAAAGAAAACGACTGGAGTTCAATAGATCATCTCCTATCGCATGGACTTCTTACTTCTGGGGCAACATAGTTTGGACTTCCGCAAGTTGTATGCAATAAACCATCTCTCTGAAATTTTGAACATTAGAGATTGATCAAAGGGGAAATTTTATAAAGGTGAAAATCATGCCCAACGACTAATTGAGATAGATCTTACGAACGTACCCCTAGATGCTGTGGTAAGGCACTGAGGCCAAAATCAGAGATCTTAATGTTTCCTTTGGCATCAAGAAGGACGTTTTCAGGCTGTATAATAGAAAACCGAAAGTGAGCACTTTGAAAAGAACCATGATGAAAATCCACTACGAAATATTGAATGTTACCGTCACATTGTTTAAATACAAGTAAACAGTTCACTAGATCTTCAATAGGAGACACTAAATTTTAAATTGAGCATTCAGATGGAGAGGAGTTGCATGGCATCTGACAATCTGTAAGGCAAAATTTTCAAACATGAAAAGTAGTAGGAAAGATGAGATATCAATAGTTTTAGAAAATGGCCTAGCAATAAATGAAACTCATGTCAGACAGATAAATCAAACCTTATTTTCCATAGCTATGATGTTCTTTTTTTAACAGTCGATTTCATTATTTTTTTAACAAGATTATTGTAGCTATTTTAACGCTCAAATTCTAGAAGTATTCCAGTCAACTGCCAGATTAACCAAATCCAAGAGTTTTATCCTTCATTTAGTCATAGCTTTAGGGACTTAGCCATTAGCTGCTAAAACTCGGCTTTTTTAACATATAGGCAATCGTGATTTTGGTGGTAGAAGAAGGAACTTACTTTCAAATCCCTGTGGTAGACACCTTTGTCATGGCAATAACTCACAGCATCAATTATCTGCTGGAAGATCTTTCTGCCTTCTTGTTCTGGGAGTCTTCCACCTGACGACTGAATTATCCCAAAATAATGTGAACTCGTTATTCTAAAACCTGAGACTATGAAAAGTTAGGAATTAAACAAAAGTTGTCCACATAATAGATTGAAATCGTGATGCCACGCTTCCAAAACAGGAGAAAAACATGAGACTGCATCGAGTTTCATAAAAAGATATCACTCACGATTTTTTCAAATAATTCGCCCCCATTTACATATTCGAGGACAATGTATATCTTAGTCTTGCTAGCCGAGACCTGCACAACGAAGAAAATAAAAGAGTTAATATTTGAGACGTAGTGATGTCTGAACTCTGGGGGTATATTCTGTTAATTTATGTCCAAGTTCGGAAACCTAAACCCGTCTCTCTGTCTGATTCCATACGCTTGATGCTGAAAAAAAAACGAGAAAAATCTAGGAGGTGGTCAAGATAAGAAATCAAGGATGCAGTCGGGAAGGTGGTCATCGGGATTTAATGCATTTTGATCTCTACCGGAATCGACGATTCATAATGGGAACAACAACCCCAGGCGAAAGTTGGGTCCCGGGAGAAGGAGACACAAATTGGCTTGGACAGCAGGATACTACTACAACCACAGACACCCACTTTGTCCTGTTTCAGCACCTTCTCTGCTGGCGTTTCTCCCGGTCCTACAGGAGCGGGGGGGTGAGGTTTGAGACAGAGAACGCGGGGATTTTTTTCATTACACAGAAATAATAGGGGGGTGGAGACCACATGATGCCGACAGTCTAGTGGGGTTACTCTCGGGCACCGGAGAGTTGGCCGCACCCCACGCGCCGCGACGAGAAGTGCCTTAATGGGCCGGCGCCCAAAAGTTGGGCACCTGATTAAGATCAAAATTAGATTTTCCCCGGGAAGAGTTCCAAATCGAAAGTCTTAGAGGTCATATCCAATCTATCAAACGGACGGCTGCTGTCGACCACAACGGCAATGGGCCTCAAACGCTTCCGGCTGTCTCCCCTCCTCCTTTCCACCGTTAGACCCATCGCCCAGCGTCTCGCAACCTCCTCATCACCAACCATAAATATTATCGGCGCCTTCTCTTGCGAACCCTCTGGCCCCCACCGCCCACCCCAAAATGGGCTGCAGCCACCCAACCCCTTTCACCCCCCACGCAGACCACAATCACTCCCTTTCCCACCGCTGCGGCAAAAGCTACTGTCAATAATATGGCCGCTAAAGATAAACAAGAATAGGATCAGCCTGCTTCGGAGCTTTTGTCATGACCTTGGGCCGTCATTCGGAATCCTTGATCCGCCCGTTTTACGCCCATCGGAAGATGGGCGAATCTGAGGGCCCGAAATTGAGATTCAGACCCGTGGCCGTGGAGAAAACGAGATGCAGCAAGAAGTAACTAGGAGAAGGAAGAGAAGAGAGCGCTGGGAAATCGCGCGATAGGGCAAGAGAGAGGATGGAGAGAGCGACAGAGAGAGAGAGCGAGTAGAACGGACCTCATGGAGCCGGACGACGTTCGGATGCTTCAGCAGCTTCAATGTTCCAACCTCCCTCCTTATCTGCGGCAGGAAAATCTTCGATCAGATCCGGCTCACCAGTTCAGGATTATTTTCCTTCAGAATTTCAGAAGGAGAAATCTGAGGAACGTGTCAGACAGGCTCTCTCCCTGTTCTGACACAGAAATTTCAGGTACAATCCGAAGAGCTCCAATCATCTCCTCCGGGGAAACACCACTCACTTGGTCGTCGATCTTGAGATCGAGGACACGCTTCTTGTCGAGGATCTTCACCGCAAAGTCCCGGCCGGAATCGACGTGCCGCGCGTACTTCACCTTCCCGAAGTTCCCCTCCCCGAGCGTCCTCCCCAGTTCGTACTTCCACCTCCTCTTCTGCCGCTGCTCCGCTTCCTCCTTCAAACCCCCCCCTGAGTCTGGCATTCCCCTCGCGACCTTCCTCACCAACCCCAACCCCAGTACCATCCACAGAAACCTCCTCTTCCTCCGCCACCGGTCGGCGAGGCTTCCTCCGAGAGAGCAAATGGTTCTCTGCTACTCTTCTCCCTCCTCCCGCCCGCGTCTCCGCGCCTTACCTCACGTTTCAGTTATTTAATTAAACGGCTTCCAGTGTCATCACCGACATTTATTTTCACCAAAAAGTTGTGCACGCAAAGAGGACAGGTCAGAAAAAGGATACAGTCACCGCCGCGTGCACGCACCGCCTCGGAATGCCCAACGTGCCCCTTGGCTTGAATCACAGGTGTCGTCCTCGGGGCGTTTGTCCTCTAGTTAACTAATATCATGAGGGTATTTTGGTATTTACCTCTTGTCTTCCATGCGTATTTTACTCGCTCTCTTGATAGAGACAAGGGGTAAATTGGGAAAAAAAATAACCAAATAAAAAATGAACCGGTCCTGTTTTTCCACGGATATGTTTTGAGTTTCTGATTCCAGGGCCCTAAAAAGTAGGCTAATTGTTGATGAACCCCTCATTTTAACACTCGGATCGATTTCTTCGCTACTAGTCCTTCGAGAAAGGGACTGAAAACCTCCCTGACGAGGGTAGAAAAAGAAAGTTGATGAACGCTTCTAGGGAGACCGGGGTAAAGCGATACTAACAAGGGGTTTTTCACGATTGTCCCGGTTTGCAGGGGCCCTCAAGTAAAAAAAAAGAAAAAAAATCGACTCATACTCCTTTATATATTAAAAGTTCAAGTGGACCGATTTTAGAAACCAGTAAATCCGCAAGTTGGACAACGTAAAATTAGATTTTAGTCCCTAATTTTTCTTCGCTTGTATAGAAATGCACTATGAATGGTAGTGTAATAAGAGTCTGCACCGAAAAAATCCCCTTGATTATTATGGAAATTATTCCTCAAATAATCTTATTTCTGATTATAGCATATATCATGTGGGCTAAAATGGAAGGAGACGACGACTTGATATAATTACTAGTTTGATGGGGAAAGGAGAGCGGATGACGTCGAGCACATTAATTGCAACCATGGTTGACCTTCTGGGCAAATTGCTAATTTCCCAATTTTCCTTCAACGAAGAAAATTTGTGAAAAAATATTATGTCAACTTCATTACATATTGAAAAATAATAATCCTGGTGTCCGTTCATTGGAACGACAGGGAGAGAGAGAGAGAGAGAGAGAGAGAGAGAGAGAGAGAGAGAGAGAGAGATCCTATCTCACGCCAGTCAAAAGGGCGTGTGATGTCATGGGAGCTGAGAATCTCAGCTCTCTCTCTCATCTATCTGAACTGTTGTGCACCTTACAAGTAAAGACCCACAATTGATTTCTCTCTCTCCCCACCGACCTGTGCTTTCGTTTAGACCACAAGGCATCCTCGACACGTGCCGTGACATGGATACCCCGGTGTTTGTGGAGATGTCCTAGTTTGTTCGCCACCCGATTATTCTTTAAAAATGCGATCTATGTCTCTGTCATTGCGGCTTTTCTGTCCTGAGATCCCTAAAAAATAAGATAATGACGAAATTACAGTACTGGTATAAAATGTGGATTCCGCGAATCATGGAATGTGTTCCGGAAAGTTTCAGGCCTTTATTATAATTATATATATTTCACCAGCACCTTGTGATAAGATTACCACTGTGGCGGGCATCGTCGGCTGTCGTCTCACGTCTTCCGAACTTCTCCTCTGGCGGCGGCGGCGGTGCCCCTTCGGTCGGCGGCCGCTGGTGTTCTTGTTCGATATTAGTTGGCACGGGTCAACGTCAACAAGGGCGCCGAGATCCATACAGAAAACGGATTAAACATCATATCCCCGAAATCCCATAAATGCTATGATGAGAGAAACATAGAAAGTAGGCCGCATAAGCCGGCAACACCCGACAAAGTTGACATTTAGTAGAACGGTTCAATCGTGATCCTTCTGTTGTAATTCTAACACGTGGGAAGAGATCGGCTCTGGGAGCGGGAGAGAAGAGAGAGAAGCGCTGGGCCCAGCCCATTAATAGCCCAGACCGGCTCGATAGTGAATGGTGGGCTCGCCCACCGTCGTCGTTTCCCCCTGACGGAAGAGCCAGGAACGGACGATCGGGATCGTAATCCAGGAAATCTAGAAGATCACGTGATGGAACCTTAAGAAACCGTTCCAGAATATTATTGAAGTTTGGGCGCTATGGAATGTTGGACAGGCCCATTAAGGTTGGTCTTTGTCTCGGCCCACATGGGCCTGTTATCGACCGTCTCTTTCGCCGCTTCCCCACCCGGTAAGGAGTGGGAAACTGGGCGGCGGGTCTGTGGGCGATGGCCGGAGCTGCCGTCGCCTTCGCTCATCATCTGCCCGCCCGTTTCTCGCGTAGCAAGTACGGCTGCAGGAGCTGCTACTCGGTGGCTATCTCTCTCTCTCTCTCTCGCTGTCTCTGTCTCTGTCTGTCTCTCGCTTCTTCTGGCGTTGAGCTGATGTCTGTTGTTATTTGCATGGTTGAATGTTGGTTTGGAAGAGGGGCGTGGATGGTGAGACGGAAGGAAGCCATTCGGTGGGGAATCTCGGCTTGCCGACAAAGCTTCATAAGTGGCGGATGGTCATTGCGTATGATGGCACTAGCTTCTCAGGTCAGAGCTCCTCTTTTTCTGGGAGTTCCTTCTCCCTCCTCCTCTCTCGTTTCAAATTTACATTCTGTTGTTCATTGGGCTATATGGGATGCCACGGTGTTCTAATGGTACCATCTGTTGGGAGAATAAATCCATTGGTCAAGATAAATGCAACTTATTGCCAATTACTTATGAATTGGAAGATTCTGAGCATTTAAATTGCGCATTTTCATGCTGCGAAATGGATTGCTATAGTCCAGTCGTTTTCCATTGGTTTTTTAGTGAGATGATCTAGATTATTTCACGCATGCAGTCTTTTGTTCTGCAACATCTTTCTCGAAAATGTTATGGGGACGGGTATCCAGGACCTTGAAATTGGTCATTCCTTATGTGAATATTTTTGTCCATTGAAGCCCTTTTTTTCCTTCTCCAGCTCTTTCCCCTGCGTTCCTCAATCATCTCCTCCAGCTTGATCTCAGATAATTTGACTTTTCTTTGTGCTTTTTTTATCAATGGTTTCATTTATACTCAGAATAAGGTGTTTCACAAATATATACTTTGTACGGATCTAATGTGTCATGTGAGGGTCTCATTTAAACTGTATGAATGAATAACTGAAGGTTTTTTTACCTGTAAAGATCGACCACAGGACTTTGATTTGCTTAAGTGATAGCATTGTTAAAAGTTGAACACATTGTGGGGGTTATGATTTCAGAATTAGTTTTTCTTAGGATCAAGAAACTGAATGATGGGAAGGGTTTATTGGAGACATGTATTATATTCTATTTTCTTCAGTACATAAAGCAAAGTTTTTGCAATCAATGTTGATTAAATTTTCTGGGATTATTGATTCAGACATTAGGAACTGCTTTTCAGATTAATTAGATTATTTTTTCCAACTGTGATTGCTTGTCGGATTGTCAATAAAATTTTGGCGGGTGGTTCATAGTTGATCCCAATAGGAGGAGAAAATTAGAGAAGGAGACCGACTAAAGATGGGGAAACCTAGTAAACAGTTAAAATAAGGGGAGGGGGAATTCTGTTGTTACTCTTGACACTAATTGGACCCTAGCTGAATATAGAAATTTCCACGCTGGCTTTTTTTCTTGATGGATTGACTTGGACCCTAGTTGGCTGCAAATAGATCTGATTGCTTTGTGAAATTATTATTCATCATTTAGTATCTGAATATCATAAAAAATCATATTAGACGTATAAATTTCAAAGGTGCAGTTTTGTTATATTTAGTAATCAATTGTATGCTGTTTGAGCTTTTGCTTCATTCTGGCTTTACAGGTCTTCCACCGCCTTGAACTATTGTAGCAAACTTGTTATTTCTACTTGAAACCCGAGTTCCTTTTATTAATTAGTTCCCTATTATACCATAAATCTAAACATGCTCGGTGCTGACATCACTTTTAGGTTGGCAGTATCAAGAATCACCCCCAACTGTACAGTGCATCATAGAGAAAGCCTTAATGTGCATCACAAAACTTGATAGAAAGGAGCTATGTCTCGTTGGTGCTAGCAGGACAGACACTGGCGTGCATGCTTGGGGTCAGGTTTGATTTCCTAAATTAATGCATCATAAAGGAACAACTATTACCTGAAGACAATTAGCACAGCTTCCCTGTGTTTTTTTCTAAATGTTCTTTATTTTCTATGTGTAGTCTACACGAGTTCTACCAGAATCATTTTCTTTTTTGAACTTTAATGAAGCTTTTGTTCATTTCAGGTCGCACATTTTGTGACACCTTTTGTTTATGAAAACTTGGAAAACTTTCATTGTGCTATCAATGGCCTTCTTCCTCCTGATATACGAGTCAGGGAGATTAGCCCAGCAGGCCCTCAGTTTCATGCCCGTTTCTCAACAGAGAGCAAGATATATCACTACAAGATATACAATGACCCTATCATGGATCCATTTCAGTTCCGTTATGCCTACCATAGTGCATACAAACTTAACCCTTCATCCATGAGGGAGGCTGCACGATATTTTGTTGGCGAACATGACTTCTCTTCATTTGCAAATGCATCACACAATGATAGAGTCCCAAATCCTGTGAAAGAGATTTTCCGTTTTGATGTAGTTGAAGCGGTAATTGTGAAGCATTCGAAACCCATCTTTTATTTCCTGTTCTCTTATTATTATTATATAAATGTTGCAGAACTTATCTTTTTTTTTTTCAAAAATTTCCTCAGTTACTTTAAGCTACATTTACAGGGCCCCATTTTGCAACTTGAGGTCGAGGGCTCTGGTTTTCTTTTCAGACAAGTGCGAAACATGGTAAACTACTGACTATATAGCTTGAATGGCGCTAATGATGTGTATGTCTCATAATTATTCCCATTTGACCTGTGGGTTTTGATTTTTGGTTGAATCCTTCCTCAGATTATGTCACTTAATCCAACAGATAGTCTTCCTCAAGCTTTGTTCTTTAATTGCACATGGCTAAAGCAATACTTGTTATTTTTAATTCATCAGTTACTTTTCGCATGAATGACTCTGTTTGTGGAAATATAATCAGCCGTCTAAGGAAGAATTCCTTGGAATCTCTTTGCTAGAATCTAACAAGCGTCTGTTGAAGCCCCAAATCTTCTTTATTTAGATAAGGCTTAATCTCATGGCTCAATTAGCAGATCCGTAGTTAAGGTGATTCCAATGTATGAAAGTCGTAACGCCTTTTTAGTGCGCCAGTATTTTAGCCATTTATCTCGTTAAGGGTTGACCCATGCTTCAAAAGGAAACACCTGATTATGATGCAAGGCGCGCACATCAGTTCATAAAGTGGTCAGGCAACGCCATCAACATAAAGAGAAACCTTCTCTCTCCAAGGCAACAAATTTGGCATCAGGAGCAGAAAAGGAAACCTCACTTCCCATGTAGATGCCGACTTTATGTAGGCATCCCCTATGCTATTGTCACCTAAACAGGCACGTTAGAGTTCCCTGATAAATTCTTTCTATGAATGGACGCTGACTTTCTTATCAATCGATTTTGGATTTGATGGCACAATTCCTTTACCGAGAGGGTGGTAATGCTCTCATGGAATTCTTCTTCTCCATAAATCAAATGAACCTTTGGGATTTTGATGATTTGAGCAGTCTCAGGCTGTCTCTAATCCCTCACCTATCTTTCTATGGTCGCATGGCAAATGCCTTGGCGTTATCCTCCTCAACCCCTCATGCTTCGCAATTTCGTTCTTGCTCTCCGCAGGCAGCTTTGCTGATACAGGTGGGAAGAGAAGCGCTCCCCCCAGACGTGGTGCCCAAGATTTTAGCCGCTCGGGATCGTAGGGTGCTCGCCAAGTATGCTCTACTGGCCCCACCACACGGGTTGTGCCTCATGTCAGTCAACTACAGGGAAGGGACCCTGGAGGCCCCCACCTCGGTTAGTTTTGGTAGGCTCCGCACTGTAAGCAAATGTAAGCTCCCATTCTATTGACTGTCTGAGCCATCAATGCCAATTCTTGATGCATATTCCTTCCACAAGTCACCACTCAGTGAAATGGGATCTCAGATCAAGTAGACCCAGTTACTTTTTAACGAGATCACCAGCTTCTGCCGTCCTATGGGGATTTTGAACTGGGTTTTCGCATCTATGTGCATCTGATCTTAGATGGCACACAAACTTAGAGACTGGGGTGACAAATTGCTAGGCTAGTTTTCCTTAATGCCATTAGGGGTTAACATGTCAGTGGCCAACCTTGAGAGGGGTTGAAAAGAGTATTCTAAGGACTGTTACGAGATACAGTGGAAGCAGGAAAGGAGAACTGACTTAGCCCTTCTCAGGGCAGTACACCAGTATTTATATTGGCATCTAATAAATCTTTCCATTATTACGGAAAAGTCTAATAACAGAAATACGAAAAAAAATACATCTAATAATAAGAAAGAAATGAAAATAGAAGGAAAGCCTAATTTAGCAAACAGGCTTGTTCTGTGTAACACTCCCCCTCAAGTTGATGTGTGGATATCATTCATGCTCAACTTGCTCCTTTGTTTGCAGAACCCTGTTGCAGAAATGCCCTTAGTTAATATATCAGCCAACTGATTTGTGGATGAGACATATTCTGTGCAAAACATTCTTGATTCGAGTTTTTTCTTTAATAAAATGTCTGTCTACTTCAATATGTTTGGTCTTGTTATGTTGAATATGTCTCATCCACTGATTGTCACAGAACAAGGTAATCGAACCTTCCATAGGTATTTGTAAGTCATTTAGTATATTTTTTATCCAAATGCCTTCACAAATCCTAAGGGCCAAAGCCCGAAATTCTACTTCAACACTTGATTGAGCCACAACTCTCTATTTTTGGCTTTGCCAAGTGATCAAATTTCCTCCAGTGCGACAACAATAGTCAGTAGTCTGAACCAATATAATCAGCATCGGTATAGATGCTTACTGTAAGAGAATCTCCCCTTTTAAACAAGATTCCCATGCCAATTGTTTCTTTAAAATAGGTTAGGACTCGTTGAGCAGCTTGATGATGTACCTCCCTAGGGTCATGCATATATTAGTTTAGCACTACAAGTGAGTAACTAATATTCAGTCTAATATGGGATAGATAAATTAATTTTCTCACTAATCATTGATAAGAGCCCTTATCTACTTGATCACTTTCCTTTGAAGCCTCAATACAATGCTTTACTTCAATTGGTGTACATATTGGTTTACAATTACTCATGCATATATATTTAAGTAAATTTGTAATATACTTTCTTTGAGATAGGAATAAATTTTCACGAGAGTAAGCTACCTCAATTCTCAAGAAATATTTTAATTGTCTCAACACTTTGATATCAAAAACAACCATCAATTGTTTTTGAAGAGTAGTGATTTCTTACATATCATCTCCCAGAACAATCATATCATCGACACATACTAGTAAGATCATCATTTCTCCTGAACTCGATCTTTTATAGAATAAAGTATAATCTCCAATAACTTGCTTGACCCCAAAGCTTTCATTGTTTTAGTTTAGCAGCTAAACCAGGTTCTTGGTGACTGTTTTAAGCCATATAATGTCTTCTTAAGTTTGCATACCTTTAGAGTATCATTTGGGCCTTTGTATCCTAGTGGAAGCTCCATATATATTTCTTCTAAGATTTCTCTGTGTAAAAATATATTTTTCATAACAAATTGTAACAAAGACTATCCATAATGCACAACCAAGGATATTAATATCTGAACTGTTCCCATCTTTGCAACTAGAGCAAAGGTCTCCATGTAATCAACACCATAACATTGGGTGAAGCCTTTTGCCACTAGCCCCTTAGATTTATATCAAATAATGTATACCCATTTGCAACCCAGAATTTTCTTCCCTTTAGGATCTGATTTATTAGAATCTCATATTCTAGATTTAACCCCATCAAAAATTTATACAACTTGTCTTTCATGATATAATTTCGTTCTTCAATATCAAGGTTCTTGATTAGTCTATAATGGTCAATTTTTCTCCAAATGAATTCCAATTCACAAGCATATTCAAGAACAATCAATATTCTCTATACCAAAGTCAGAGATTTCTACACCAATCTATAAATTTGAGATTTGTCCTATTTAGTAGAGTGAACACAACGAACTTTGTCTCATAATTCCTTCACAAATTTCAAAAAAAGAAATCGATCACTTATCTTTAGTGAAATATTGTCTAACATTCAATATTAAATCAATGCTTCTTCTTCTTTCCACCAAGAATATCTTAAGTTGTCAATACTTGACAAAGATTACGTCAAGTGACGATTCAAATTTCTCCCACATAGAATAAGTTTCACATTTGATGTCCATTTGAACAAGTTGATTCCATTAAATCAAAATCTCTTAGCAATTATAGGTAGATCTGAACATACCTTAATTACTTCAAATGAATGTCCTGGGCTAGAGGAGGAAGATTTATTGACCTTTGTCTTCATATTCTTCAGCTATGACTAGATAGCTAAAAAAAATCTCAAACAAAGATTCCTTGATGTGGTCCGAATAACAACTAAGGATGATTGCCACTGTCAAGAAATAATAATGATATATTCAAAGACATCTGCCACTGTCAAGAAATGACAATGATGTATTTGTAGACGTCTTGCCACTGTCAAGAATCAATGATGGTGTTTCTATAAATGTCTCCCACCCTCAAGAAATGATGATGCTGTTGTAACTCTCTAAGAAATCTGCTGGTCTACTTACGACCAAGAAACCTCACGATTTTAGGTACTGCAAGCAAGAAGAAGATCACCAAGCAACACTCCCTATAGTGTGAAGTCGTCGTCGCCACCAAGGTTGGTTGATCTTCCGTCGGCGGTCTTCACACAAGATCAGAGAGAAAGCTTTTATACCATGTCACAAGATACAATGAAAGTAGGAAAGGAGAATTAACTTAGCCCTTCTTAGGATAGTATGCCAGTATTTTTATTGGCGTCTAATAAACCTTTCCAATATTACGAAAAGGTCTATAACAAAAACACAAAAAAGGAAATACATCTAATAATAGGAAAGAAAGGAAAAATAGAAGGAAAGCCTAATATAACAAAAAGGCTTGTTATCCGTAACAAGGATCAAAGAAAAGAGATTTTGAGAGGGACGGAAAGGAGAGTGTCTACAGCTGAACTAGATTTTGGGGAGGCGAAGAGGACGATATGGAGGCTAGATCACATCAGAGCTCTAGAGCCAGGGCAGCTATTTGAGTGATGGCAAATAGTCAAGAGATGGCAAGTGGGAAGGGATAACCCTCAAATATTTGATAATTCATTCCCTCTGTTGACTACATGAATAATACAACGTTGACCCATGTGCGGTGTAAGCCAAGGAAGTCAACTCCTAGGGTTCCAACCTTCTTATCTATTGACCAAGTACTTCATTCAACTAAAGCCAAAGTAGTAGACGATACGATTGTCAGCTATAGAAGGAGTTGTCACATCCTTTTTATCTCCAAGAATCAATACTTCAAATCTAATAAATGAAAGATTGAGCAAAATGTTTGACTCTCAATGGGGCAAACGGCTGCAACTAGACATCGTTTCAAATCTACAGGAGGACAGATTCTACAAGCCAAGTTAAGAAATTGGGTGATGAAAGGCTATTGTGTTATGCAGCATCAAAATCCGCATGACTAAGGTAGGCCAAAATGAGGCTCACTCAGTAGAGGGCTCGAGCTGAAATGAGAGTGACATCCACTGGGCATGGGCCTCACTAATAAAGTGACATGAAATCAATCTAGAGCTGAAGCTGAACCTTGAACATCGCCAGACCTCCAGGGCCGTTGGAAGGGGCAACGGCTGGCATGTGGCGAGGGGAATCCTTATGTGACACACTCTGCCTGATATCAGTGCTCTGACCGGGAGAGGATTTCGGATTGTGCTTGCTAATGTGACCTTGAGAAAGAGAGAGCCTCTTGAGAATGGGCACCAGAGTAGAGAATCCTTGCCCAGATGGGGGAATCCCTCAGCTTTCAAAGAACCTCAGCTCCACCATGGCCTCCTGGCGCTTTGGGGAGTACCAAGCTGTGGCCCTGGCCGAGCCAAGGACCTGCATGGCATACTCCAAGGCAAAGATGTGCTCCCCAGTGTGGGCAAATCGCCCTTGGCTATTCAAGTCAATCCCAAATCTGGATTCAGCTCGGAAGCTGATGGGCCCAACAATCTGCAATGGACAAAAGTTATGACCACTTCTTGAAAAAGAAGAAATAAATGACTAGAGAAATTTCTGAACGATTGAGAACATTCACCTGCTGCTGAAAGGAGAGAGTTACATCCGGGCATATGGCATGGACTGCATTAGGGTCGTATTTCTGAGATTTGTACCAATCTTTAATCAGATGAGAAGAGCCATTCAGGAAGGTGGAGACCGAAAGGCAGTCCAGGCGGGCATGGAATCTAGTCATATCAAAAAACAATTTCTGAAAATGCCCGAGTTGCGCCGTACATGAGATTGATGCGAAAGAGTCTGCAAGTAAAGATGATCTTCTTTTTGGAAAATTTAGGCTGAAGGGCTTGAAATGTCGAGATTCATCTTCCCGGGAGATCCTCACGGAGTTGTCACCCATAAGTGCACAGACAACAGAGCCTAAAACACAAAGGGAGGATACAATTGCATTCAAACACTCGTACGACATTAGATGTTTAACCCACTCATAGGATGCGTCCATTTAATCCAAGTTAACTATTAGAGAGCTCTAACAATAAAAAATCCTTATTTGCTTGAATAAAAAATCTGAAATTTTATGCTGAAGACAAGAAATTAAAATAGCAATTAAATTACAGAAAACAGGAAAACTTGTTGCCTCCTAATACATTTATCCGTGTTCAACATTATGCAGCAAATATCCTCACAGATCATGCATCTGTACCATTTCTAAATAAACATTTTTTTTTTTGAGTGGGAATGATAGCATTAGCAAATATGATTCTCTAAAAATATGGCGTGGTTGTCAGCCATATAATTAGAAAAGTTATGATGAAAACAACGAAAGTGTCAAGCCTCCAGCCGCGCATTGACATTAACTGCACGATGGAAATATTTGACAATAAAACATTCCTATTTCATCAATTTTATCTCTCGCAGTGCCCACAATCTTTCTCCTCATTTTAGATACTGTTATTGCTCACCGGCAGCTTCTCATAAAAAATTTCGACACATAAATGTAGTAGTCAACACAAGTGCTTCAGAAAATTTACGGTTGAGCATATTGTTAGCCCATGAGGTCAGAACAATGCTCGGGGCAAGTGTAGTGACAACCATTAGCTAAGAACTGATTTTGGAAAATTATATGATCAATCATGTTGTCAGGAAACGTGTACTTGCTATGAAGCAGTTGTTGACACGTGAATTGTAAATGCAAACACTCGACTCAGTGAAACTCAAAACGCAACAAGTCAATGCTACCTGAATCCAAGAGCTAGAAAGAAAAACACTATTGTATGATGGAAGACAGGACCAAAAATGGACTCGGGCTGATCATTGCTTTCAGGCATCAAGTTTCTTTCGGAGAGCAAGGTGAAGCTCAAAATCTTTTCTTGTTTTCCTCTCATACTGTCCTAAAGATCCAGTGAAGCTCTCTCCGCACTTCATCTCTTCTCCAATTTTACTTGACTGATTTGCAACCTGCTCTATTATTTCATTTTGTATTGAAACAATGGTGATGTTGATGAGGCTTAACTCAGTAAGAAGGCTTGACTAGGACTTTTGGAGGGTGAAGCAGCTCTGGGGTTGACCAAGATGTTATAAATCTCTTGAGTTGACCAGAGATTGCCAATCTCTTTTGCATAATCATCCTGTGCCACGAAATATTTTATTTAAATGAAAATTCACATTACAAACCAGTCAACCACTATAGATAGCTCAACTCTACCCAGGAAGTTAAAAATAATAGTTATCCTCACAAATAAGAGTACAAAAGTCTTAATTCAACTCGCCAATCTTGATTAACTACATCCGATTTGACCGATGGACGAATAGGCAAGCATACGTTTCATGCTTGCTTATTATAACTCTTTTTATAGTAGTGTTTTATAGTAGTTATATATAACTCTTCTATTTTCAACCCGAACCGAAGAAGAAGAAAGGAACATAAAATCAAAAAATCAATAGAAGTTACTAAAACTTTATTTCGAAAGTTTTCATTATAACGTAATAATTAACTAATACAACTTTTGCATCGTCGAAATAAAGTGAATTGTATTTTGATTTGTTTGATCAATCCCTTCTTGATTTGTTTCATCGTGGTAAAAGAATTTATTGATCATTTTTTTTGTTGATTCAAGGAAAAGCTGTGCATTGGTCCTAAGACTGTTAAGGGTACATAGAAGGATATCGCTGTATATTCTTTCAATGAAATATTTGAGAAAGTAGTAGAATTTGCGTATTAATCGGGTACTAACAAAGCGATATTTTGACTTTGAAAGTCAAACTCCCTTCTCAAAACAAAGCAGGCAATATCCTTATAAAATTGACTCCATCTCCCAAGTTTTTTTCTTTTTGTGGTCACTTAATAAGCTAGCTACTGCATACCTATGGATGATTAAAACCAAAAAAGCTGAAATTGGGCAAACTTTTCGGTTAATAAAAATCTTACAGAGAAGCAAAAGGGGATGAAAAGACAGAATCTGATTATAGCTTTCGCCAGGTTGGTTTGAGTTGGATATTTTTGAGAAAATCAAAGGCGAAATGTGTGACCAAATCCTTAAATATTTGTCTAAACATAGAAAAAGTAGTGTAATTCTTCCAACCGCAACTTCATCAAATACTGTATCATGAATCACATAAATGCCTTACCAATAGATACTGAAGCTGAAATATGAGGATCACAAAGGAACATATCATACGGCTGGAGCATTTTTGTTTTGCCACCTTTCTTCCTCCATATGTCTGCATTCTTCTTCATGGAGACTGCAGCCTTAGCACAAAATCCAGGCAGAAGAGCTGGAGGCACCTCACCAGATTTACCATCAGAAAAGCTCCTGGGCTGCCCACTATTATGCTGCAAGCAGAGATGGTAACTTGGACGTGACCCTGATGACGTTGAAGAGAAATCAACAGCCATTGATAGTGGCACATCCCAATAAGTCCCCTCCCCAGAAACAAAAAGCCGAGGAGAGGCAGCTTCCAACACTAAATCGTGTCGAGGGAACTGCAACCATAGGAAAGAAAAAAAAATCAGAGATAATCCTTGCATAAAGGCAGCCCACCACATATTTGATGGATTTAATAAATAAACATTAATCAGGAAGAAAATATTAAAGTTTTTAAGTGGCAACCAGAGGAGGGTCATGCTAAGAAAAAAACTCGATCATGAAATTGAGAACCCTTAGAACACCAGCAAATGTGTAAGCTTTCAGTTCTGTGGCAGATCCTAGTTGTTGCAACTGTTGTGATGGTGTTCTGTGGCAGATCCACTGTAAAACATAGGCCTATTTCATTGAAAACTAGGATTGTTTTTTTGATAATGGATGCAGAACGATTGTTCTCGGCAAGAGCCAGGGAGGAACAACAGGCTTGCTTCATCTCTTTAACATTGTTTCTTCATTCAAAACACAGATAACGTAACATCCGCTGCAACTGAGTCCAACCTTTGCTTCTGAGCAAATTCCTACCCGAGTCACAGACCAGATCAATCCAAGCGGTAATCCTCACTAACACTCGGTGGAGGCCACACCAATAAGATTTAGTGTAGGAAACTGAGGATTCGCAGGTACGTTCCAAAGATAAGTTCTATTTGAGCAAAATTTAGGCATTGCCTTCTGCGTGAAGACGGCCTTGTTCCTATGTCCCTTTCCGTCCTTGCTGTCGCCGTACGCCTCGACGAGCACAGAGGACTCGGGAGTGACCGAGATTTCCGTCCCAAAGCCAAGGTGGTAAACATCCAACGCCGACGTCCCTAGGTTCCTGATCCAAGAGAGGGCCCTGCTGCTACCACCGGGGGAGTCAACCTTCTCTGACGCCTGCTGTTTCACCCGGGTGACGAACTTCTGCAGGTGAAATTGCTCCATTATCGTCGCTGACCTGCTCAGATTCATATTCCATCCCCGGAGATACCCAATTAGTATCAAATGATGGCCGAAGCCGGAGTTTCATATCATAAATTTATCACATTGGGAAGGAAGCCATTGGAACTCTGGAATGCGGGTTGTCACCAGTTCTCGCGGAGGTGGAAAATGTCGGCGTGGTGAACCACGAGGCCAGGGCCACCGTTCCGGGGGCCGGAGAAGGAGGCAACGAGCGGGGACGCCATGAAGCGGTGCATGAAGTCGAGCTGCTTCGCTCGGGAGAGCCTGGATCCCCTCGACAGCCCCAGGGGGAAGAGGAGGGCCGGGCTGCCACCGCCGCCTCCCTCTCCCTCTGCACATATCTGCCGCCCCGCCATGGGGCGAGCAGTACCCTCCATGGTCACGGGAGTCTCCAAGTCCATCTCCCAGAAACCCCCACCGTCCATGGTCCACCTGAGTCTCCTCATCTCCCCGCCCCCCCCGTCCCCCTCTCCTCCTCTCTCTGTGACCTCTTACAGTGACTCTAGGGTCTCCACACCGACATGACTGGACGGTGAGTAGTTCCGAGGACCGCTGCTGGGGCTCTCATCTCCTTCTCCCATCTCAGGAAAGTCGGTCGGGTGTGAAGCGAGAGAGTTTTACACGTGCCACCCGCACGCCCGGTTGGTCGGTCCCCACTTGGGACATTCCTAGGGTTGAATGCTATTGGGCCTAAAGCCTATTTTTTTATGGGTTAAGGCCCATTTCCCTTGTTGAGTTGGTTAATATGGAAAACAGTCAGGCTCATTTGTGTCAACTCAAAAGTATATTAAAATACAAAAAGCCCCTACGAGCTTGATCAAACATTATAAAGGCCCTTCAAGGCACCTGATGGCATCATAACCTCACTCTCTCACTAGCGTCACATCAAAAAATATGTGGTAGCTGAAATAAATAAACGGTGTGACTTAGCTCACGAAATTGTTTACTTTTTGCCAACCCCCCCTCCTTTCTCTCTCTCTCTCTCTCTCTCTCTCTCTCTCTCTCTCTCTCGTCTAGTTTACTACGAATTAATCTCTGAAGTGTTGAACTTAAATTCCATACAAAGTAGTCAATAATAATTTTACATGACACAATTAATTCATTAAACGTAATGGTTCAAATCCCATTGCATGGTTGAGTCACATTTAACCATGATTGGACATTAAGATGTGCATCAAGTTAACATGATAATATTTTTTGGGTTTATTCGTTCCACTTGAATGCTTGAGAAGAAAAATCGATCATTGGAAAACAACACCTATTTCTTTCATTGAGTTTGTTATTTCTATCTGTATTTTCGTGGAATCCTTCCAACCATCAACATTTACATATTCAACTAGCATTTTGCTTTGATATTTTATCAGAATGTCAATACTTAATGACAAAGGTATTAGAAACTTAAACATTTTGAATTTTTTTTTCATGACCATATGCTCAAGCTCACTTAATTCATGTCAATGATGTTACTTTAGTTGTTGTAAAAAAATGATCAAATTATAAATATTTATAAAGCCAAATTAAAAATAGGAATTAAAATTAATTTTTTATGAATTCAGGTTGTCCACAAGGATAATGGTAAATATAAATATCATTTTTTTAATAAAAGAATTATTAAAAAGAGAATAAAGAATAAAATAGTCTTCTCTACATTTTAAAACTCTCACATAGTGCTTGAGCTTGAAATCTTTCAAATTTGATATCCACCCATGTTCAATGTTGATTAATGACTCAAGGCCTACAAAATATTCTTAAGAAAATGGTAAATAAATTCACCAAAAGAAAAGAAAAATAAATGACGAAAAATAAACCTAAATTTGAGAAAAATAGCGGGGAGGAGAGAAAATATGACCACCAGAGAGGTTTCCCTACTAGTCGTGAATGAAAAAGATTTGAGTTGAATTCCAATAAAAAAACTGAATAATCATTCAAAATAAATTGATCTCACGGATCAAAACTAGGTAAAATAAAAATGATGAAAATTACTAATGAAAGTAAAACCAAAACCTAAATCATTCATTGGCAGAACAACTCTAATTATGAAAAAACAAGAAAATGATTTCTATTTGAATCCATATAAAACTTGAGTAATATATGAAACTAAATTTCTTCAAAAGATTGTTATCTAGTTTCATACGAAACATTAAAATCGCAAGAAGAATAACTAAAAAAATAAATTCACAAACTCATCCTCATCTATCACTGAGGAATAGAGTATTATCAATGTAGTAAAAGGAAATAGTCATAAAAATATGGATTAAAATGCTTAGTCACATCATCTTTTTGTCATCCATATGATGAACTAAGGTTAAATAAAATAAAATAATGGATCTTTATAGTTGTTCAGGTCCTATCCTTCTCTTCTGTTAAAGGGCATATTCTTGAGTTTCTATTGCTACCTTTGAAAACACTTTTTGATTGCAATTGTTGACTTACCATCCTGCATCACTTTAGGATTAGTGTGTTTGCATCCAGCACACACTTCTAGTTACAAACCTCTACAATATAAGGCAAAATTATTAAGTTAACAATGTAATATAGTCTGCTTCATGGATGCATTTAGGTGAAAACTTTGGATGGTGCAAGTTTGACATTTTCACACAACCATATAGATATTAGTCAACTTTAAATGGAAGCATGTAGACATAACTTTAGATGGTTTCCTCTTATTTTCCTAATCAATTGTAAATGTTTCAGTTCTAGAAGGCTCTCTTACCTTCAGTGTAAGCTCAAGGTTTCTAAAAGTATAAGGCTCTACTTCTTTTAGTTCATGAAATGGTGAGAATAAACTATATCCAACCATTTCAATGGTTACCTACACAAACTATATTGTTGGATTCCATCTCTATTTCTATTTACACTATTTAGTGTGAAAAATGATTTCTTCTTAATGTAAGTGAGTGAACTTTTTATAAGAAACTTGTGTAGTTGAGAACACAAGATAAGATACAATTTCCTAAACCCATTTTTCTGTTGAATCTCTTTAGTGGTTAGAATAGAATAATGCCATCATTAAAACATGTAAAAATTGACCGTAAAATTAATCATTTTTTAAAAAAATTACCCTCTTTTTACACATAAAAAATACCATTGACTAAAAGTTAATATTTAGGGAAAAAATTATCATGCCATATTCCATTTGTTGAAGATGGCCAACGAGTGTAATGTTTTGGGAAAATCATAATTTTTTTGATAATATGAAAGTTTATTTCAATAAATTCAGAAGAAATAAAATAATGAAATCAATGACATTAACTTGAGATTCAAAATTACTCATTAAAGAGTCATTTATGATGGGTGCATCAAATTCTTTATTGAGACTTGATTTTTTTTACTAAAGAGATATTAACTTAGGTTTGATTCAATTAAGTCATATTAGTAAGTTGCATATTACTTTGGATGATTAAAATTATTACTTTCATTAGTGTAACAAATTATATTATTCTAAAATTCACAAATATTCGTTCAAATACTTCAGATTCAATTGATTAATTTTATATAAACAATAATTAGGTGGAATAATGTTGTATCATAGACATCTTGTATACTAGATAAACTTTCATACTAATACTTTATTTCAGTAATTCTGATAAAATCAGATACTGTAATTATTACTTTCTATCAATGGTAATATTTTTAGATATTATGATCTCATACAGTAAAAAATAAAGTAACAATTTTGAGTGATAAGGTAATCTAAATTTAAAAATATTAAAATATGAGACTCAAACACATTCATTAAATTACAACTTAGAAATTTAATATTCTTACTTTATACTCTTTAGTAATTTTTACTCCTTTAATTTTTATGTTGAAGTCCAAAATAATATTCATGCATATTTCATGTTTACCATATATATTTATTATCATCAAAATAGTACTCAATTAATTCGTGTACAATGTCTTCATAAATGGTATGGATTATAGTATCTTGTTGAGACAAAATTAACATTCCAAGATACTTAATGAAGACAGTAAAGGTGGTTACAATACTACCAAATTATCATTTTACCTCAATTTTTTTATAGTTAACAGCCTATTAGATTTGTAACAATTAACATCATGAGCTAGTTGAGGATTTTGTATTAAAAAATCAAAATTTAAAATAATAACTGGGGCTTTTACTTGGTCCCCACTACAATCATTGACTTGGATAGTTTATTACACTCGTGGAGTAAAATGGTATTGATTGTGGTGCTGACACATTTGGAATGAGCAAGAAAAAATAAAAGTAGAGTTGATTTAGCCATGAGACATTCAAATTGATTGTCCTGCCATGTCGTGACTTAAAGGCTTGGTTGCATCAAAGTCCCGCCTATCTCAAAATTAATGATTTCCTCCAGCTTAAAAATGAGAAAAAGTTTAGCATGCCCAAAATAGGAAACATGAATAATGTCAAAAAAGAAAACTTTTAATCAAATTTAATTCATGAAAATGTGGGGACCAACTATTGTGGTGACATAGTAATTGCCAACAGCCAAATACAGATGGCAGAGTGATTTTTTTATTTTTGGTTTTTTGGCATAGTGATTGTTGTTCATGACAATGAGTGGTTAAGGTTACCCGGGGTGGGGTTTGATCCAAACTTGAATATTGCGGGGCAAAATTTATGTTCATACTTTCAAATTGTCAAATGTGTGGAGGAGAGAGAGAGGAGAAGAGATGGGCATACTTGTCACGCGCCTACTGATCCATCAACAAAACCCATTAGCGTCTTGAGGTGGACGGTTGCAAGGACGGTCAAAGGGAGAACATGACGAGTCGAAAGGAAAATGCGGCGAGAAATCCTCCAGGCGCGAGATAATTCTGTGAAAATATTCCTCACAAATTATATTTTCGCGAAAGAGATAAACAATGAAGTCTTGAACGCAAGGGATAGGGGGGGCTGGGAGAGCAAGAGATCCTTGCCAACCTGGCTTTGTCGCCGGCATCAAGTGGCCGCGGCCGCCACAATGGGAGTACCCACCGCCGTCATGTCATTTATTGCCGGAAGGGGTTTTTATGGACCGCCATGTCATTTATTGGGCCGCGTATAAAAACAAGTTTAGAAAATCTGTAGGGCCAGGGAAATCGTGGACTGGACTCTTCCACGACTCTCTCTGTCTCTCTCTCTCTCTCTCTATCCCCCAAACTCTGACCCTCAACTCTGGGAACAATATGGAGAGAGAGAAAGAGACAGAGAATTTAGGCAAACCGACAAAAACACCCACAAATACTTCAAACAAATAAAGCGTCCGTCCGCGCAGTGAGTGGGTCAATCTCCCTCCTATTACCAAAAAGACGATGCTTCCCACCGCTTGGTGACAATATAACCTTTGCTCAATGAGTTCACTGACGGAACAGGGAAACCATATGAACATCCTCAGGTGAGTCATACGTTGCAGAGTCGCCCCTTCACCCTTTCCAAGGTGGGTGGGTTCCTCCTGCTCAGTCCTCTCTCCTCTGTTCTCCCTGTTTGTCGTCCTTTCTTCTTCTCCTTCGTCGTCGTCTTCGTCTTCTCTCCACTTTTCTTCTCTCACTGTTTTTTGGGAAGGTGGAGGGTTGCTGGGGTGATCAACATGCGTGCCTCCAAATGGAAAGCGCAGATCCTTCTTTTTCCCCTGCATTGACTGATCATTAGGGTTTGACTTAATAGCGGAAAGGGAGATTTTGCTCCTGGCGTGTTCATGGGAAGCCGAGATTGTTTTTTCGGGATCTGTTGGGATAAAATGATCTTCACATAATTTCTCTAGAAGGGGCTCTTGGGATTTCCTTCTCTGGATCTCACTCATCATATCGACGTTGATGTCTGTGTCCTAAGCCTGTTTGCTCGGCCACCCTCTCCCACAGGCCGGTCTCATCCTATGTGGCGGCAAACAGTCGCCGCCGCCGCCGACGAAGAGCTCCAGGGCGGGTGGTAACCAGGTGGCCTTCCTCGGCAGTTTGCTCGCCGAAGATGGGAGGAGGACATGAGGATGGGGAGTTGGGCGGCAATGTAGTGAACAGAGACGGTGGGTTCAACGAGAAGCATGCAGGGCCCACCGGGAGCAGCTCGGAGAACGCCGCCCGTGACGGCTGCTGCCCAGGGTCGGACCAGATAATTGAGGATGAGGGCACGAAGGTCGTCCGCTTCAGAAAGCTCTTCTCCTTTGCCGATTCCACGGACATAGTTCTCATGGTTCTCGGGACCATCGGAGTTATGGCGAACGGCGTTTCCATGCCTCTGATAACCCTCCTGTTCGGGAACCTGACGGACTCCTTTGGGGAGTCTCCGGACATTAAGGACGTCGTCGACAGGGTCTCCAAGGTGTGCAGGGAAATCACCCCCGCAGCTGACGATCCTATCTTTCTCAGCCCCTTATCGCTCGTTTTGTCCGCAGGTTTCTCTGCAATATGTCTACCTGGCCATCGGCGCCGGCCTTGCGTCGTTTCTCCGTAAGCTCCCTCCCTTCCTTAATCTTCTCCGTCTTGCAGCGGTGGTAGTGACTCTGTTTCTTTCTTCTTCTTCCTCGGGGTCTGTCTGCGATAGAGGTGACCTGCTGGATGGTCACCGGCGAGAGGCAGGCAACGAGGATCAGGAATCTGTACTTGAAGACCATCTTGAGACAGGAGATCGGCTTCTTCGACAAGGAGACGAACACGGGGGAAGTCGTGGGAAGGATGTCCGGAGACACCGTCTTCATTCAAGACGCCATGGGCGAGAAGATGGAGTTATGGTCCATTATAAACCGTCTTCTTCTTCTAGCTGCTAAGTATTCATCTTCTTCTGCTCTAAAAGATCCCCGTCGTCCTCTGCGTCTCAGGTGGGCAAGTTCATCCAGCTGGTGTCAACTTTTGTCGGGGGATTCGTGATAGCGTTCGTCCAGGGATGGCTCCTCACCCTCTTCATGCTGTCCACCATCCCCCCCCTCGTGGTGGCCGGCGCCGTCATGGCCACGCTCATCGTGAAGATGGCGTCTCGCGGACAGACGACCTACGCGGAGTCGTCGGTGATCGTCGAGCAGACGATCGGTGCCATAAGAACGGTGAGTAGCGCCACCCACCGCTGCGCCATAAGATCGACGGACTTTCCCGCGGAAGTGTCCTACGTCCTTCTCATTGGGTGCTCTGCGTGCAGGTGGCCTCCTTTACCGGGGAGAAGCTGGCAGTGGATAAGTACAGCAAGTCGCTGAATGCTTCGTACAAGGCGAGCTGCCAGGAGGGCCTCGCCGCTGGCGTTCAGCGACTTGCATTATCCTTAAATTATATGACTGTGGTGCTGTATTAATTGTAGATCCAAAATTAGGAAAAACTTTCAAGGTGAATGGCCAGAGTAAACCTTATGTGGAGGGTGAAATTCTATCACCTTCAATAGCGATTCATCTTCACAGCCTTGGTAGAGCTGCGGAAGAGCTGACCCCAAGGGTTCAACCTATCCTAAGTCTCCTTAAACTCAATTTTTTGTTCATTTCCTTTTTTTATATTATTTTTTACTGATTAATGAAGGAATCTAATGGATCAAACCCTAGCAATTTTGCTCTTCTTATCTTATTCAGGTACATGAGAATTGAATTAGGTGCTATGGTAGGTAAGCATGCATATGGAGCTTCAAATTTTTTGTTTGCAATTCTGTCACACTTACCTGAATACATTATGGACAATGCATGAGTTGAATGCAAGGGGGGACTAGGACAAAACTACATATTACACAACTTACTTGCCATATTTTTCTTTTATGATTTCACATGTATCATTTGTATGCTTTGATATACCCAAAATTAGTATCCTGATTTAGAAACAAATTCTTCTCTTTTGACTCAATCTCATCTGGATTGTGAGGTAAAAAGTAAGTGGGAGTTGAGGGTGTAACATCAATCTACCCCTTGTCTGAAATTGGGGGTGAAACCCAAGTATGCAGTTGGACTCTGATATTTAGTGGGTGGATAAGTATCCTAAGTTCTCAATTGTAGGTAACATTTTTTGTCTTTTAGCCAAGTAACGTTCAGTTATATACATCTACAAGTCCTTGGTAGCAAAAAAATGAAAAATAAAAAAATAAAAAAATCCTACAGATCAATTCATGAAACAGTAGTGTAGGAAAAGTCAAGTAGAAGTACAAGAATGAGAATTCTATGCATGCTCATGACATTTCGTCTACATCTTCTAGTCCTCTTCTTCTTCAAAAGAAGAAGAAGAAGAAGAAGAAGAAGAAGAAGAAAGTGAAAATAAAATAAAAATGCAAATCATATTTTCCTTATGACCGCTGACCATAACCCTTTAGTATGACCAAGGCATGCATATCTCTTTGCAGAAAAGGAGAAGCCAAGGATGCTGTTAGCTAACAATTTGAGAGATGGAAGAAAAAGTGGAAACTTCATTGATTCATAGAAAGGCTGATGAGGGCCAAGACCTTCAATGTCACTAGGAGAGGAAACGATTAGTAGGATATGTGGGTAAACCTAGAAACAAGCCCCTCACTCTTCCTTGCACTTAAACCCATATAAAAGAGAGACTATGTTCAGAAGAGATAATAGAAGAAGAAGGATACTAAGTTTGAGCTTATATACATATCATTGCTAGGGGGCTAGTAATGAGATAAGTAGGGGGTTATGATAATATGCATACATTTATGAATATATGAATCATTTATCCAAAAATTATTACATAAATTTAGTTAAAAATATGCATATTATCATTAATGCTTACTTGTTCATAGATTCTAATACAATTGCCTTAGTTCTATTTTTTTATTTAGATCTGATTGGATTCTATAGATTAATCTCACTTCACTGCTTTGAAGTCAAGTGGATTATCTATGGTAACATTTGTTTCTTTTTGAGTTATTAGTTGTTCAGAACTTAGATGTATTTTATGGAGCAAAAATATTTGAGAACCAGGCCATGGAGATCCCAAAAACTAGAGTACATCCCAAAAAATTATTGGGCTGCTTAGCCCGAAGCCCCGCAGGCCAAAGCGACTAGGTGGTAACCACACCCCAAGTTTGCTCACCGGAGCAACTATGCAGGAACCACATTCCAAGGTTTGCAGGCCAAAGAGACCAGGCAGTAACCACACCCCGAGGTCTGCTCACCTAAGCAACCAGGCGGGAACCATAGTTCAGGGCCCACAGGTCAGAGTGACTAGGTGGTAACCACACCCCAACGTCTGCTCACCTAAGCAACGAAGTGGGAACCACAGTTCAAGGACCATAAGGTTGGAGCAGGCGGGAACCATAGTCTAGGGTCCCCTCACTAAAGTGACCAGGTAGGAACCACACCCAAGGCCCGCAGGTCAGAGCGATCAAGCAAAACATCCCTGAACCTCAAGTGCTAGAATCTAAGTTTTAATTGTTTAAAAAGAGCTTGGAAAAGGGTGATGATGTCAAACTTGAGAAGGGTAAAAAAGGAAAAATGATAGGGGCATTTATTGTACCTTGCTCAACTTATTTTGAGCATTCTTTGATAACCCAAATGAAGGTTGGCCACATAAAAATCCTCAAGGATCCCTCTCCCTTTCTTCTTCGAGATTGAATGAAGTTTTCTTCAGCAAATCTTGATTGACTGCCAAGAAAGGAGGCGCACTCATTTGCAGATGAATAGAGCTTGGGGTTGATGAAGAAGACCCTATAGTGAATGTTCAATCCTAGTGCAGCACGATTACGTCTCGACTTCATTACTAGACAAGAGTAGAAGGTAAATGTTAGTGTGGGGACTAGTTCTTTTTCTGCACAAACCCATCACCTCATGTTTCCCTCAAACTTCTGCCCCCCGATCTCAAGATTTTCTTGAGATCTAGAAACTCTTCTATCTCCTTACCTCAGACTTTCATTTCTTATCATTTCACCCCCATTCATCACTAGGAATCAACTCTTAATCCTATTTTAAAACCCAATTTTAGTTGGATGCGACCCTAATTGACCATATATACTCAAAATTAATTAGAAGTTAGGTTTATAAATATTTTGATTAATACCAATTTAAAGGCCTACGACACTTTAAGTTTAAGGATTATCATCGCATATGAAGATATAGAACTTTAGTTGGATATAAAGATGACATTTATTTAAGGAGATTTAGAAGAGACAATTATATGTAGCAGTCGAAGGATTTTGTTGTATAGAGATTAGAACATCTTATCTGTCAATTGAAGTAGTCTTTTTATGAGTTGAAATAGACATTGAGGTAGTGGCACAAAAAGTTTGACTCCTAGATGTTAAAAATTAGTTTTTCATTTTCTTCTTGTAATTTAAATGTTACTAATGAAATTTAACTTGATATGATATTTTGAAGAAATTTAGTTTCATATATTACTCAAGTTTTTACACATTTGAATAAAAATAATTTCCTTAGTTTTTTACTATTAGAATTGCTACACCTATAGATGATTTTAGGTTTTGATCTTATGTTTAGTAGTAATTTTCATGATTTTAGTTCATCTATTGAAATTTTAATATTGGCAGTGTTAGCCCATCCCTACTAAATTGTTTAGAAAATGCGCAAGTAGTGGGTGATGTCACCTCATCCCTATTAACCTGTTTGGGGGTTATGTAGTGAGTGAGTGGTGTCACTTCATCTTTATTGACCCATTTGTGTAAGGAATGAGCATGGAAATAAGGATGGTTCAAATCATCACCTCTTAAAAATATGGGCTTGCCCACATAGGAGAAGGTTGAACCTTTTCTAAAAAGATATCTCTAAAATTCATTAACTCACGAATCTTGTGATATCGTACATCAATATACTTCAATCATAGATAATAAAAATAATTCTTTTCTAAACAAATGACACTCTGACTATCATAATATAAAAGAATTTTACCTTATCATATCTCAAGTTCACTTAATAACCTCTTAAATCAAAAGGCCTCTTGACTACTTTAGTAGTTGTTATGTACTTTGCCTCAATTGTAAATAATATAACAACAAAATGAAGTGTAGAATTTTAACTCATAGGTCCATCAACTATAATGAAAACATAATTCATTGTAGATCTTCGATGATCTAAATCTTTGAAAAACTTTACATCAACAAAATCAATAATAGAAGATAATTTTATGAGTCAAAGTGGATTTCAAAATCTAATGAATGCTTTGAATATCAAATAATCTATTTCACTACACTCTAATATTTATTTCCTAGATTGTTCATAAATATGCTCACAAGTTCAACTATATGAGCAATATCTAGTCTTATACATATAATAACATACATAAAAGAGCTAACTATACTAACATAAAAAAATTATTTCATCTCTATAATAATTTTCCTAGATGTCATGCATTGAATAGTAGATAACGTGAAATGACTAACTAGATAGATATTTACTAGTTTAGTATTACACATGTCAAATAGATCAACCACCTTTGAAAAGTCATTCTTTTGAGTCAATCATACAAAACCTCTCCTTTGATTTCTATAGATCTTCATACCAAATATCTTCTTTAACACACTAAGAATTTTTTATGTCAAAATTTTTATTTCATTATGTCTTTAATTTTATAATCGATAAGTCTTCATTATTATAAGTTAATAATTAGTAAATAATATAGTTTTAGCCTTAACTCATGATAAATATACTTATATTTGTGTTAAAATGTGAAAAATGGTTTTTAGTTAATTAAAATAAATTTTTGGCTAATTATGTGATTTTTTATAAATTTATATGATTTTTATTGTCTTATTTTTGAGATAAATGAAGAAAAAGAATTTAAAATAAAAATATAACAACATGGGGGGGACCCGTCAGCCAGCCAGGCCTGCAAGCGGGTCAGAAGCCCAGTCAGGGGAGGAGTCGCGAATAAAGGCTCGAGCGTCTAGGACCGATGAAGGCACGTGTGCACCACTCTCCTTCGACGTCACTAGTGGCTAGCTAGTTGTGGGGTAAGGAGTGGTCATACATGTGGGAGAAAGTGATTCATTACTTGCAAATCTAATATTCTTATATATTCACTTGA